CAGTGTCTTTGATTTGATTATTACACACTGTAATCATGCTTTGAGAAAAAAATCACACTGTAGCCTACCAGTATTCTTATTAGAATGACTATGTAAAAATCAGAAGAATATCAGAATAAATGGGAACTTTCTTGTTCTTGAGGTTAAAGACTTAGTATTGTTAAGACGGCAGTACTGTTCAAATTGATCTACACATTCAATTCAATTCCTGTCAAGTCCCAGCTGGTTTTATTTATTCGTTTTCTGCAGAAATTGACAAGCTCCTCCTAAACCTGATATGAAAAGCCAGGGGACCCAGATTAGTCCATATATCCTAGAAAAAATAGATCATAGTTGGACTTTCAAAGAGGACTCACATGGCCCCATTTGAAAACTGTAGTCAAGACAGTATGGTATTGACAAATACAGGAATGTGATCAATGGAATATAATTTTAAAATCTTCAATTATGACAAATTGATTTTCAACATGGGTACCAGGACAGTTTGGTGGAGAAAGAATAGTCTTCAGGAAATGATTATTGGATGGACCAGTTTTGTAGCCTAATGGTTAAGGAAGCTGGATCCCATATGGCCAACTGTGGTAATAATCCTGGCATGGGTGGCTTAAAAAAAACTGTGTGTACACATACACAAATGATACTCGAATACTCACATATGTACATGCAGAAGAGACAATTTGGATCCCTATGTCACAGTGTACATGCAAAGTAAATAAAAATGGATCAAATATGGGACCAGCAGTTGGTATAATGGCTATGTTGCTGAATGCCCATGTAGTCGACTGTGGTTTGAGTTCCAGACCCGGTGGCTTAAACACATGAGGTGTATGTGTGCGTGCATGCCTAAGATCCAGAGAGGAGAATGGAGGAGAAGGGATTGCAGTGTGACCATCCCCCCTGGGGGATGCTTTCTCACTTTCTGTCTCCCTGTTTCTCTCTGGCGCATGCACGTGCCGTATAGCAAAAACCTCCAAAAAAAAAAAAAAAAAAGATCATATAGTTCACTGCAATAGCTGTAACTGTAACACTCCTTTAAAAATGGAGCAAATCTTTGTACACCAAAAGTGTAAGTGACAAGCAAAAAAATGGGTGAATTATATTTTATCAGAATTGAATAATTTTGTACATCAGAGGACACAGTCAAGAAAATTAAAAAGATAATAGAATGGGAGAAAATATTCATAGGATCATTTTTTTTTCTTTTGGAGAGGTTTTTGCTATAGGGCACGTGCGCTCGCCAGACAGACACAGACAGACAGAAAGTGAGAAATCACCCACCCAGGGGGGATGGCCATGCCTCAATCCCTTCTCCTCCATTCTCCTCTTGGGATCTTGGGCATGCACGCACATGTGCCTGGCGTGAGTTAAAGCCACTGGGTCCGGGATGCGAACCACGGTCGCCTATATAGGAGTCAACTATATAGGTCGACTATATAGGAGTCCAGCATTAGCTAACTGCTGGTCCTGTAAGGTCATATTTGTAAATCACGTATGTAACAAGGTATTTCTATCCATAGTAAATAAGGAACTCCTAACTCAATAACTGAAAGCACAATTAAAAATGGGTAAAAGATGGATGACATTTCCTCAATGTAACTATGCCTCAGCTGGCGTAGAAGCATGTGAATGGATGTTCAACATCGTTTGGCATTGGGAAGTGCAGTGTAAAACCACACGGTACTGCTGTGCACGCAGTAGTGTGGCTACAGTGAAGGGGCACAGGAAGCTGGTGTGCGTGAGGAAGCTGGGACCTAGTGAGCGTGCTGCGACAGGCGGCACAGCTTCTCGGAGAGCGGCTCAGTTGTCCCTCGGAACTGCGTGGAGTTGCCACCAGTCCATGAGATGGAGTGGGCCGGTCCTTGCCTGGGTGGGAGTGAGGACGAGGTGAGGGGCCAGCACCTGCTGACGGGTGCTAGGTCTCTCTGGGGTGACGAGCGTACATAGAGACCCAGTGATGATGTACCACCGCATACACTAGAGACGATGGGCAGAGTGCGAGGGTCCACTCTGGCAGGTGACTTGCACACCTGCATGGTGGTGGGCAAGGTCGGAGTGTGGGAGAACTGCAGCACGGCCTTCAGTGTAGTGCGTGGCCCGTAGCGTGGATCTGGCCAGGCCACCTTCCTTGCACGTGAGGCGCTCTGCCACGTTTGTGGCTCCCTCGTCCCTCCGCAAGGCAGGTGACTCAGGACCCTTGCGGCTGTGTTCCAGGCAGTGCTGTTGGTGCACTGGGGACAACCAGAAGGACGCAGCACAGATTTCAGGAGACATGTCAGCTCCTGGTGTCGGTCAGAGCGGCCTCAATGGGAGACTCAAGGCAGGAGCTTCTGTTCTGAAGGTTGGGGGGAAGCTTTGTGCTTCCACGAAAGGTCGATGATGGGGGGCTGTCGAAGGTTTGCCTCGCTGGAGGATAATTTTGAAAGAAATGAGGCTGGAGGTGGGCACCCTGGCCTCAGTGGTGAGGTAGCCGAGCTGAAGAGGGCGTGAGCTTGGTCGGGGTCAGTGCAAGGGTGTCCGGCTGGAGTAGGAGCACAGACGGGGGCTGGAGCTCCTGGCCGCAGCTGCCTGCAGCGAGGCTCGAGCCCCGGTCCGCATTCGAGGAGGGCAGACCAGATCGAGAGGAGCATGCTGGGAGAGAGGCCAGCAGCCGGGAGGGGGTGTCAGGATGCCAAGGAGCTCAGGCTGCTTTAGGTGGCCCACTGTCCGCAGGAGCAGCTTCAGTCCCCTGTGGGAACCGGGGACTGGCCTGAGTTGGGGAATTAGTGAGATGGGAAAAATGTTTCGATTGGACAAAGTGTAGACAGGAGGAGAGGATGCTGGGTGTAGTCATGGAGAGGGTGTAAGGCCAAGGGGAGACTGATGGACAGTGATGTAGGGACATTGATGACCAGAGAACGAGCACATGCGCTGTGGCCAAAGAGATGACGGGGCTCGGAGGTGCAGAGACAGGTGGCCCTCCTGACTCGGAGCAGGACGAGACCACTCGAGACGAGAGGAGTGCATGGCAGGTCCTCATTGCAAAGGACTTTATAGGCTACTTGAGGGAAGTGACCTGTGAGTCAGTTCAAGGAACATGCTCTCCAGCATCCCTGTTAGTTTAGCCGCTGGTGACACAGGAGAAAGAGCTGGAATTGAAAGATGATTGTCCTTTCGCAGGAAGTTAATCCAGCGTCCAAAGCAGGCTGAAGCAGGGTCCCCCGCAGTCAGCCTGTTGCGGGGGTTTCTTTATGAACCATGGGCAGGTTAGCATGGAGAGTATTCCTGTACCGTGTCAGCAGATATGTAGGCAGCAGTTGGCATTGTGGTTAAGGCGCTGGACTCCCACATGGTTGACCGTGGTTCTAGTTCCAGTCCCGGACCCGGCGGCTTGAAACTCACACCAGGCATGTGTGTGCGCGTGCCCAGAGCCCCAAGAGGGGAATGGAGGAGAAGCAATTACAGAGTGGCCATCCCATCTCCCCTAGGGCAATTTCTCATTTTCTGTCTCTGTCTCTCTCTGTCTCCAGCAAGTACATGCACACTGAAGCAAAAACCTCTCAAAAACAGATGGGTTCTATGAACATTAGTAGTTTGATGGCTTCCACGGTATATTACAAGCATTTGTAAGTTTTATTCAGATGACATTAAATTAATCTATTCAAATTTTGACTTCAAAGTCAGACAGAAACCCACTGTAACTCTACCCGTGTTCTCTAGTTCCGTAGAGTGGTCATACCCTGTGTCAGAAAGTCGGTTGGTGTGAATGTCATCTCTGGGAATTGATTTGTGTTCCTAGATACTTTTATTCTGTCAGAAACAGATTTTTCTTTCATTTGGGGGTGGGGCAGATAGATACGAGAGACAGAGGCCACTGATAGATGGCAGTCATGCCACAACACCTTCTCCACCCCCCGCTAGTCGGGATTCTGAGTGCATGTGCACATGTGCCCTGTCGTGTTCTTCAAGCTGCCGGGCGGAGATCTGAATGTGGTGAGCAGCCACGTGGGAGCCAGCTTCCTTAACCCCCAGGTTATAGGGCTGTCCCTATCAGAAACAGTGAAGTGCAGAAGTTACCGCATCTTTAAGTCAGTCATTATTGATCTGACATCTGAATGCCTGAGTGTGCTAAATGTAATTGGAAATTTTACATTTCCTTTTTTTTTTTACATTTTTTTTTGGTTGGGAGGGAGAGGTTCTTGCTATAGGGCACGTGCGCTCGCCAGACAGACAGAGACGGAGAGACAGAAAGCGAGAAATCACCCCCGGGGGGGATGGCCATGCCGCAATCCCTTCTCCTCCATTCTCCTCTCAGGATCTTGGGCATGCACACACACGCGCCCAGCGTGAGTTTTAAGCCACCGGGTCCGGGACGTGAACTGTGGTCGACTACATGGGAGTCCAGCGACATAGCCATTGCACCAACTGCTGGTCCTGGAAATTTTAAATTTTTTATTCTCTTTGGGTTATTAAGTGTTTTCTGCTGGTTAGCTTGAAGTTCATATCATAATGCGAATTCAAAATTTTTGGCGAGACATTTACTAAGTTGTATTAATAAATCTTTTACCATGTACTGTATTCATTTGTAATGCTTCATTGATACTTTTTTTTTTTTTTGCTATAGGGCACGTGTGCTCGCCAGAAAGAGAGAGAGAGACAGAAAGCGAGAAATCACCCCACAGGGGGGATGACCCCGCCGCAATCCCTTCTCCTCCATTCTCCTCTCAGGATCTTGGGCATGCACACACACGCGCCCAGCGTGAGTTTTAAGCCACCGGGTCCGGGACGTGAACTGTGGTCGACTACATGGGAGTCCAGCAACATAGCCATTATGCTAACTGCTGGTCCCTCATTGGTACTTTTTAATCTCATTTTCATTTTTTTTTTATGTTTAAGAATGTAGTTAAATGTTTAAGAATGTAGTTAAATTGAAGTTAAAAGTGAAACTATATATATAATGAAAATTTTTCCGTTTTTGTTAAAGTTCGGTTTCCTAAAATATCACATTTTATTTTGTCTCATAGGGATTTGTCTTGGCTGTTACTGTCATTAGGGAGGCAATTGATGAATTTCGGCGTTTTCAACGAGACAAGGAAGTGAATTCACAATTATACACCAAGCTTACAGTAAGAGGTTAGTAAGATGCTTCCAATTATTATTGTAATCATCAATTTAGAGTTAACAGATGAAAGAAATATCCTGATTCTGTTATTAAAAAGCAATTATATATTATCTAGTTCGTTTTTTTGTATCAAATGCATGCAATTTTACAGCAGATTTTTATTCATTTATGTACGTGTATGTATATATTTATATGTTTACATACGTGCGTGCACATATATTTTTATTTATACTTTTACACTCATGCATATAGACACACACAACACATGCACACAGAAACACATGCGATTTATTTGAATTAATATATAATGTGCTCTATTACAGTACTTCACACATGTGAAACCCACCTGGTGTATGCACATTTTCTGTGAAGCATAAGATTACTTTTTTTAAAAATCTATCTATTACAGTAGTTCAGACATACTCATGGAGATCATTGCCCCAGTATTAAATTGCACTTGAGCAGAAGGGCCTTTGAGCACTGGAAACAAGTACTGTGGTCTCGTGTGGCCTGAGTGATGCCGCACCTTCCTTCTCCTTCACCTTAGCCAGTACAGGGTCATACTTTGCAGAAATGGCTTAGAAAGATCACCCGGTAAACACAGCCACAGCACATGGCGACAAAAAAGCCCTCAGAGAAAAGGGAGAACCATCTAACAAACACTGTGTTCAGTTTGCCACAAGAATTTAAGAAGCATGGGGACCAGTAGGTGACATAGTGGTTATGGCGCCGGACTCCCACATAGTCGACTGCAGTTTGAGTCCCCAACCCTGTGCCTGAAAACTCAAACTGGACATGTGTGTATGTCCCCAAAATCCTGAGAGGAGAATGGAGGAGAAGGGATTGCGGTGTGGCCATCCCTGGTTATTTCTCGCTTTCTTTCTCTCTGGCAAGCACACACACCCTATAGCAAAAATCTCTCTTAACTAAAAGCCTACCAAGAAATTAAATGTGACCCATTCACACTTAAACATTAGTCGGAATACTAATAAATTAGTAGGGACTGTCTCTGAGGAAGCCCAGATAATGGGCTTAATAGATGGAGGTTAAGTGAGTTGTCGTAAATATGCTGAAGGAGCAAAGGCAGCTGGAGAAACCAGTGAAGCTATCAGGAATGAGGGCTGAACAAGCAGAGCGTCTCAGTACGGGTATAGAAATTACAGAAAGGGGGAAACAAGTCCTGGAGCTGAAAGCGTTACAAATGAAAAAAACTCACTAGAGGGTTTAATAGCAAATTTAAGCAAGCCGAAGAAAGGATCATTAAACCTGAGTTGATGGGACCAGCAGTTAGTGTAATGGCTATGTCACTGGACTCCCATGTAGTCCACCGCAATTCGAGTCCTGGACCCGGTGGCTGAAACTCAGTGCTGGGCCCATGTGCATTCGTGTCCAAGGTCCCAAGAGGAGAATGGAGGAGAAGGGATTGTCGTGTGGCCATCCCCCTGGGGGGTGATTTCTCACTTTGTGTTTCTCTTTTTTTTTTTTTTGGAGAGTTTTTTTTTTTTTCCGCTAAGGGACCGGCGCGTGTGCTCGCCAGAAAGAGAGACAGAAAGCAAGAAATCACCCCCCGGGGGGGATGGTCACGCCGCAATCCCTTCTCCTCCATTCTTCTCTCGGGATCTTGGACATGCACGCACACACGCGCCTGGCGTGAGTTTTAAGCCACTGGGTCCGGGACGCGAACCACGGTCGACTACGTGGGAGAAAAGAAAACAAAACCTGAGTTGAAAATTTCCAGTTTGAGTTGAAGAAGGAAGAAAACTGAACGCCTCCTGAAGGCCCCGTGGCCCACTGAGGGTACCAGCATGTACATGTGGAGTGCTGACTGGGGAGGGGAAGGGTGAGCAGGGGAGGCTTAAAGTGCAGTGTCCGAAACACCCTTGGTTTGATGAAAGGCGTGAGTCTGTATGTGGAGGAGGTTCCGTGAGTTCAGGAGGGATGAACACAAAGAGCTGGGTACAGAGACGTTTCGTCATTCTTAAAATTCCAGAGTCCAAGGGAACAGTTTTGTTTTTTTTTTTTTGGAGAGGTTTTTTACTATAGGGCGCGTGCGCTCACCAGACAGACAGAGACATAGAGACAGAGACAGAAAACGAGAAATCACCCCCCAGGGGTTGCTCACGCCTTCTCCTCCATTCTCCTCTCGGGATCTTGGGCACGCACGCACACGTGCCCTGCGTGAGTTTTAAGCCACCGGGTCCGGGACGTGAACTGCGGTCGACTATGTGGGAGTCCAGTGACATAGCCATTATGCTAACTGCTGGTTCCCCCAAGGGAACAGTTTTTTAAAAATTATTTAATCCCTCCCACTTCCTCATGAATAAGACAGAGAGGGAGGGGGCACCCCAGCAGCGCCCTGTGACACAATCTGCACCAGCTTCAGCCTGGACTGTGGGAAGTCCATGTGGGTGCCTAGGTTGCAGGGAGGCCCCAGCAGCAAACTCAGGGCCTTCCAGGTATGCCCGAGAGAACATCTTGAAGTCAGCAGGGAAATGACCAGCCACGGACAAGACCTCTCCTCTTCTCTTCTCTTCTCTTCTCTTCTCTTCTCTTCTCTTCTCTTCTCTTCTCTTCTCTTCTGCCTGCCTCCCTTTTTCTTTTTTTCTTAGCACTGAAATTTTTATTTGTTTCTTGAGAGACAGAGAGATGGGTACCCTTGACAGGTCTTAGGTGCTGTGGTCTCACTCTCTGCACCACCACCTTCCAATTCCTAGCCATTTCCGTTGAAGGCAGTCTAAGACCTGGCCCCTGGGCCTCCCTGGGTTCTAGTTTCCTGCAGCAGGGTCCAGCTGTCTACACCACTCTGGTTGGGCCCAAGCAGTTCTTAATAAGGTTTCATCTCTGAGGTCTGAAGGGACTATGGTGACATTTAGAAAAGTGATTAAAGAAAAACACCTGTGAACCAAGAATTCTGTGTGCGGTAAAACTTACTGAGTACTGGAGGAGAGGGCTGGCCCAGAGCACAGTAGTTAAATGCTGTGTAGAGGGAGCTCGTGCCCACCGGCTGACGGCGTTCAGGTCCCAGCCCTTCTGGCTTGAAAAACACGCCAGACGTGTGTGTGTGCGTGCGTTTGTGTGCTGTGGGTCCTGAGGGGTGGAGAACTGGAGGAGAAGAATTGCAGTGTGACCAGGTTCCATCAGGGCTACCCCTCCCGCAGCACCGTTACTTCCTGGGAATGCAGATCCACAGCGCAGTGAACTGTGTCCACCCCCTGCGTGGCTGTCGTTGAGAACATAAAGTGAGCGATGGAGAGGTACGGGGGTCTGCGTCCCGTTCATTGCTCGGGGTCTGGGAGGTGCTGCTATGGCTGTGGAAAACAGTTCTGCAGTCTCTCAAATAGCTTCGCATACGGTTTAAGACAGAAACTCAAGCAGCTAGTTCCCATGTCATGCCAGCCCTGGTCACGGTAACGGGGGACAGCCCGCGTGCCAGCCCTGGTCACGGTAATGGGGGACAAGCCCGCGTGCCAGCCCTGGTCACAGTAACGGGGGACAGCCTGCGTGCCAGCCCTGGGCACGGCAACGGGGGACAGCCCACGTGCCAGCCCTGGTCATGGCAGCGGGGGACAGCCCTAGCAGTGGTTTCGGCAGTGGGGGACAGTTACTGCTAAGGGGTGTTGAGTGCAGTCCCGGCACTTCATGCAATGTGCTTTGCAGCCTTCCTGCCCAGACACCGTGCTGCTTTTCCGATCCGCATCTGTGACTCGTAGTCTCCCTGTGGATGCAGCTGTGTCTCACCGTGCCTTAGTCAGTTCCATTGTTGTGGAAGTTTCACGAGATTCGGGCTTCCTTGTGTCCCCAGCCCGTGAGAGAGGAGGGACTGTGTGAGCTACTGCAGTCCACCGCCCACCTCCAGGCCTCCCTCGGCCTGCCAGCACTGGTCAGGAGGCCCTGAGCTCTGAGGGTGGCCTGGACCCTACCCCCGTCAGCGGTAGCCCAGTGGAACCCAGAGACTTTGGGTACACAGCAGGCCTTCCTGGAGCTCCCATCTCACAGTGAATTTTCTCTTCATCTGTGTCGCTTGACACGGGAAGCTCAGACTTCGGAGCCGTTCTGTCCTCCAGACCCTGGTGCCGTTGCCGGGAAAGGCTTCACCTCCTGCTCTCACCCTGCCCTTCCCTGTGCTTGCCTGGGGAGCCCTGCTTCCTTCGTCACCTATCCTTCTGTCTGTGGTCACCTCTGGGACACTTGTTGCTCTTAGGAAACGTGGCTCGTTGAGGGTCCATGTTCCCAGCCTGTCAGCACTGCCTGGGCCCTGCCCCCTGTAATGCGGGGTGGGGGCTTCCTGTCCTTGCTCTCTCACACCGGCTCCCAGGCTCCAGCCCGGCTCCAGCCCGGCTCCAGCCCTTCACTGTCCTCGCCCTTGATCTTGCTCGATGAAGCTCCTTGTCCAGTTTGTCTAGTACACTGTCACCTTGGTCCCTGAGGGCTCTGCCTAGCTCGGGGACTCAGTGTTTGCAGTGCTTCCCCTGTTCCTGTCTAGAAGCTCTCTTAATCTTGGTACCCATAATTGCGCTCTCAGAGGTGGGGCGCGATGCCATACGTCCCCAGGAGACAGGAGGGGAGAGTGGGAGGTGGTCTTGTAGCACGGTCACAGCAGGGAGCTCATGTCGATTAGCCTTGCTGCTGTCTGGGCACATAGCCTCTTGTCTGTGCAGTTCCTGCCCTGTTATACTGAAGGCCCAGACTTGGAAGTGTCCTTCCTGCCTGAGGAATGCAGACAGACCTGCAGGCTGCACACGAGTGTCCATACTGGAGAACTGAGGACAGAGGAGCCTCACGAACGGAAGCCCAAGGACGGGGGACTGACCTCCCAGTGCAGAGGGGCCACTGAGTCTTGTGTCACGCCTCCAGTAGCAGCTATTTCCACAGAAATGCTCTTGTCCTAAAAGCATTCTGTGCAGTTTACTCTCAGGTATCTACTCAGGAAGTCGTGACCATCTGTCTTAATGTATGTCGTAAGATTTATATGCTCACCAGAGACAAACAGAGGGAAAGTGAGAAATCACCCCGGACATGGTGGGGTGGGGAGATGGCCATACTTCAGTCCCTTCTGGTCCATTCTCCTGGGATTTGGGGCGTTCACACACACGTGCCTGGCATGATTCTCATGTCACCAGGTCCAGGGCTCCTTTAGTTGGCCATGCTGGAATCCAGTGTCTTCACCTCCACAACCTGCTTGCCCCTGTCTTTCATTTTTTATGTAATAATTATTAGTGGATATTACCAAATAAGGGAACACTAGTACTTTCCTCTCGTTGAAATCTTTTCATTAAATCCGTCTTCTAGCAACAGGTATTCCCTGCCACAAAGTTTCAAGAGCATCATAACTTAAAAGTGCATTATGGGAGCTGGTAGGTTGTGTGGTGGTTAAGACGGCTGGACTCTCACATGGTGAACCGTGGTTCGAGTACCAGACCTAGCAGCTTTCTTTGCTCTCTGTCTCTCTCTGGTCAACTCCAAAACAAAACAAACGAGATAGTTAATAAAATTAAATAAAATTAATTTTTAAAATATGCACTATGTTTTATAGACATTTAAGTATATCGCATGTGAAACAGTAGATGGTTATTCTACATTTGGTATTATGTAGATAACTTAAGAGCTTATTCAGCATATTACGTAGGTGAGTCACTACTAGTGATGAAACTTCAGGTAACAGTTTCCGGCCTTGTCTGTGTTAGCAAAGCTACTACTGGAGGGTGATTTTATATATCATTAACTCTACTTTTTCCTATTAGTTACATGCTAATGACATGCATAGTCTTCATTTTAGGAATTACACAGCTCCATGTTACTGAGTATAATTAGTTATCTTATTTAGTATCATTTCTGGTCATTCATGGCCAGGCTGAGAATGGGAACAGTGACAGAGCACGGGGAGACCATCCCCACAAAAATGACCCATGTCACGTCTGCTCTGCTTTGGGGCATAGTTAGTTATTTAAGTGATAGTTTACTAAGAGAAGTTAGTGGGCAGTGAATGTGTTATTGGAAATGTATTTTGTACAAATATAGAGAAAGCTTTGAATTTTTTTCTTGCCCAAAAGTTATCTGTAAAGTAATTATCAGTTGAAACATGGTGGCTGTTGTTTCACTGTATTGATCACCTCTTCTCTCCTCTAAGGTAAAGTGCAAGTGAAGAGCTCAGATATTCGCGTCGGAGACCTCATCATAGTGGAGAAGGTCAGTGCGCTCTTAATACACTTCAGACCCACGTGCGCTAGTTACTAGCCTTTAGTATGATTGCAAGTAACTTTGGAATCTGAAGGAAATCGAGAGATATTTTAAATTCTCATATCCTTGTGTGTGATCTGGAGCATGTGAAGAAGAAACTAAGATTTTTTGGGAACCAGCAGTTAGCATAATGGCTATGTCGCTGGACTCCCACGTAGTTGACTGCGGTTCGCGTCCTGGACCCGGTGGCTTAAAACTCACGCCGGGCGCGTGTGCGTACGTGCCCAAGATCCCAAGAGGAGAATGGAGGAGAAGGGATTGCGGTGTGACCATCCCCCCTGGGGGTGATTTCTCGCTTTCTGTCTCTATGTCTCTCTCTCTCTCTGGCGAGCGCATGCGCCCTATAGCAAAAACCTCTCCAAAAAAAAAAAAGAAGAAGAAACTAAGATTTTTGTGTATTTTGTCTGTGTAGTGCATGTAGGAAAGGCCGTATTCCATCTGAAGTGAGGCCTGCACTAGCTGCATAGTGCTGCTTTATGGATTTGATTTCATTTGTCCGCAGAGTTGCACTGGGAGCTCTTTATAATATATGACCTCAGCTTTCAGAGTTTCCCTTTTCAGGTTATTAATTACCTTATGCATGATTATTGGCTGCACTTACTGTGGAATAAATTTTAAAGAGGAAAAGTTGAATGGAAATAAAAGAGCACTAGGAAAAAAAGTGCCATGCACACTGCACCTGTCTGCTGTGGCCGGGGCCGCACCTGTGCCTCCCCTGCCCTCCCCCGCGGCCATGTGAAGGCTGTGCACACTGCAAGTGTCTGTGTCTGAACGTCAGGGCTGTGGGGTTATTGCGACTAGGCATGGCCCGACTTGCTACTCCATCCTCCTGGTTGACCTCTTTTAGGGCTCTAGGGTAACTTTGTGAATAGGTGTGAAGGACAGGTCCTGGGAGGCCTTCTGCAGAGGAGTTTCGAGGCACAGAGGCTACAGCCCAGACCAGGCCATGCCAGGGAGTCATTTCTGCAGAGCACCTTTCTTCCTCAGTAGAGGATGGCCCTCTCACAGCAACCTGTGCACAGAGCCTGGTATTGGCTGTCAGTTGCCATCAGAGACCAGGACTTCCACCCAGGCAGTTTCAGGTGGCGTCTGTCTTGCTTGCTGTTGCTGATGCCACAACGGGCACCTTACAACGTAGTCTGCCCACATTCGTAGCGTAGCTTCTGACGAGAGGCAGCCAAACCCCATCCTGGTCACGCCGGGCGCGTGTGCGTACGTGCCCAAGATCCCAAGAGGAGAATGGAGGAGAAGGGATTGCGGTGTGACCATCCCCCCTGGGGGTGATTTCTCGCTTTCTGTCTCTATGTCTCTCTCTCTCTCTGGCGAGCGCATGCGCCCTATAGCAAAAACCTCTCCAAAAAAAAAAAAGAAGAAGAAACTAAGATTTTTGTGTATTTTGTCTGTGTAGTGCATGTAGGAAAGGCCGTATTCCATCTGAAGTGAGGCCTGCACTAGCTGCATAGTGCTGCTTTATGGATTTGATTTCATTTGTCCGCAGAGTTGCACTGGGAGCTCTTTATAATATATGACCTCAGCTTTCAGAGTTTCCCTTTTCAGGTTATTAATTACCTTATGCATGATTATTGGCTGCACTTACTGTGGAATAAATTTTAAAGAGGAAAAGTTGAATGGAAATAAAAGAGCACTAGGAAAAAAAGTGCCATGCACACTGCACCTGTCTGCTGTGGCCGGGGCCGCACCTGTGCCTCCCCTGCCCTCCCCCGCGGCCATGTGAAGGCTGTGCACACTGCAAGTGTCTGTGTCTGAACGTCAGGGCTGTGGGGTTATTGCGACTAGGCATGGCCCGACTTGCTACTCCATCCTCCTGGTTGACCTCTTTTAGGGCTCTAGGGTAACTTTGTGAATAGGTGTGAAGGACAGGTCCTGGGAGGCCTTCTGCAGAGGAGTTTCGAGGCACAGAGGCTACAGCCCAGACCAGGCCATGCCAGGGAGTCATTTCTGCAGAGCACCTTTCTTCCTCAGTAGAGGATGGCCCTCTCACAGCAACCTGTGCACAGAGCCTGGTATTGGCTGTCAGTTGCCATCAGAGACCAGGACTTCCACCCAGGCAGTTTCAGGTGGCGTCTGTCTTGCTTGCTGTTGCTGATGCCACAACGGGCACCTTACAACGTAGTCTGCCCACATTCGTAGCGTAGCTTCTGACGAGAGGCAGCCAAACCCCATCCTGGGCACCTGAATCCGTTTTATTTATTTATTTATTTTAATTTAAATTTACTTAGATGCATTCATTGTAGCATACAAAATGAGATTTTCCTTCCAGAATACACTGTAAATTGGCTCAGTCAAGCACGTCAACATATGTGTTATCGTCAACAAATAATTTTCCATTTCTCGTTTCCTGTATATTTTGCCTTTTTCCCATCCTTGATTCCCTAGCTCTCACCCTCTGCCATCTCACACCCTCCTCCCACACTGTCTCTGGTATCCATGGTTGCTTTCTATGCCCTTGCCCCCACATTTTATTGCTTCACTAAAGATCTTAATTAACCTGAATATTTTCAATAGCAAGCACAGCTGATATATACATATCCATGAACACAAGTCTGACTTTAGGCATAAACCTCAGTGAGTAGAATGAACATACTATAAGGTAGCACCTAGCTGGGGCTATATAGCTTACTGCAGTCATCAAATAGGTATTTTTAATGCATTTTTTTTTAATTACAAGAAAAACAGTTTTTGTGTTCTTTTTTTTTTGAAACATTTTTTTAAAATTAATTAATTTGCATTCATTCCCTAAGCACCATCACAACGTACAAAATGTGATTTCCCGTCCAGAATATACTGCATAGTGGCTTAATCATGCATGTTATTGTCAGTAATTTTCCATTCTAGTTTCATGTATGTATATATTTCCCTACTTATGACCCTCTGGGCACCTGAGCACCCATTCACGCTAAGTCTGAGCAGTTGGGCTAGAGAATAACATTATCTTATTAAAAGCTTTTGCTGGGGCTCAGTGTTGGGGCATGGTGGTTAAGGTGCTAGACTCCCTTGTGGCCAACCATGGTTCAAATCCCAGACCTGGATGCTTGAAAGTCATGCTTCATGCTTGGATGCGAATGCCCAAACTCCTGAGAGGAGAATGGAGAAGAGGGGATTATGGTGTGGCAAAAGTGATGTCTCACTTCCCCTCTCCCTGTCTCTCTCTGGTGCACACACACCTGCCCTGTGGCAAAAACCTTAAGGAAAACAAAAAGTTTCTACCGACAACCTGCAGGTGTCATCACGCGTGTGCTGCAAGTCCGCGTGGCTCTTCCCTGAGCTGGGGACAACAGGGCTTTGCTCCTTTCTCATACCAGTTGGCAGTTCTCTGCTCTGAGAAAAGCAGGAGGAGGAGGGCGTGTGGGTTGGAGGACAGATGTGCAGTGCTCGTGATGTGGGCTGTGAGCAGTGCCTGGACTATTCCGCCCAGTGAACGAGGCAGCGAGGCACTGTGTCATCGTGCAGCTACGCTTGGGGACGGCCTTGGGTTAGGGTTGCCAGTCCTCCACCTGCATGGGACTTGCCACTCCCAAGAGCTTTGCTGGTAGCCCGTGGTGGACTGGAAAGCCTACCAATGGCATAAACAGCCTAGCATCTATTTCCTGTTACAGGTAGTACATATTGGATTTGAAGGGTAAGGTAAAGCCCAAGAAAATAAAAGGAAAACCGTAAGGAAGGGAAAACGGGAGGATTGCAGCTTGTTTTCCGATGTCTGTCAGAGGAGTCTGCATGTAAGCGCACCACGTTGCTCCAGGGCCAGCTGTGGGAAGCCCGTTTCTGTGCACCAGCGAGCACATGGAAGCAGAAACCAGACAGCACATCCTCAGCCATTTCTGTGAAAGAGATTTTAGGCAGTGCTGACAATGACCATGTGTTGATGAAGGTGATCAAAGAAGGCCTAAGAAATTATGTACTTGGATTGGAATGTTTCATACACCAATATTTACCTAAAATTGATGTTATAAATTTAATATAGTTTCTATCAAGATGCCAGCAAGTTTTTAAGAGGTCATCCTCCTTTACAATGATTGTAAAGGCACTGTTAGAGGATGAGGTCGGTACATGGGGGCTCCCAAAAGAAGGAACTTTGAGAACGAAGAAGGCGAGCAACTCTGTAGAGCTCTGACCGCGTTTACTAGGAGGTGATGTACAGACAGGAGGGGCAGACAGTTGGCAGCCCAGAGCATTCAAACTGTACATCGCACCACTTGGAAGCAAGCCTGAGTTGTTTTTGTTTTTGTAGAGGTTTGCCTTAGGACACATGCGCTCACTTGCTCACTGGAGAGGAGTGGGACAGACAGTGAGAGGGAAAGTGAGAAATCACTCCCTGGTGGGGATGGCCACACAGCAATCCCCTCTCCTCTGTTCTCCTCCTGGGATCTTGGGCATGCACGCACACGCACCTGGCCTGAGTTTCAAACCATCTGACCCAGTGTTCGAATCGTGGTAGGCCATGTGGGAGACCAGCAACTTAACTGCCACACCATCTGCTGGTCTACAAGCTGGAGTTTTTCGTGTTGCTTTTATCTATATTTGTATTTTATTTATGATAGTAGGTGCATGCACAAAAGGGAGAGAGGAAGAGAGGAGCCCTCTCAGCAGGGTTTGCTCATGCCGTGGTCTCCTCACTGCAGCCCTCCAGGCCCTCGTGCTCCCTGTGCCCTTGTGAAGTGTCTGCAGGCCACCCAGTTATCTGAGCCACTGCAGCTGGGTGTGCCACCCACTGTGCCATGAGGCTGGCCCTGAGTTCTTAAAGGGAAAGCGAAAGGGGTGAACAAAAGCCCCTTCTGGGGGAGCAAGCCAACTAGTTTGGATGTGTTTGTCCTGAGCGTCTTGAAATCATTCATCTTGTCCAAACAATGGCCAGCTGCATCAGCGAGGGACATAGCTCTCTTCCTTTTTTTTTTTTTTTTTTTTAATGTACCTAGAAGGCAGAGAGGGAG